TCGCGTCCCGTACTCGGATTTATACCATATAAATCATTCACTCTCGTTATAATTACGCGATATGAAAAAAAAAAGAAAAGAAAAGAAAAGAAAAGAAATGAAATGAAATGAAATGAAACGAAATGAAATGTAGTTACCAACTATTTCAAAGTTAGGCGACAATACATACACACATTCACGATCGTCACATACACAATCAAATTTTATCGAGGAAAGGGGAGAACTTGAAATTCAAATAAACGTCTTCAATTCGTCTCGAATTCCTTCGACGAAGTTCCAACGTGACTTTATTATAATAATAATATTAATAATAATAATAATATTAATAATAATAATAACAATAATAATAATAATAATATTAATATTAATATTAATAAATAATAATAATAATAATAATAATAATATTAATAATAATAATTGGGAGAAAACAAAGCCGACCGCGAGAGTATGATAGAAAGAAAAGAGGGTATGAGAAAGAAAGAAGAAGGTTCTTTGCCAGCGATCGAATTTTTCAAGGCAATACGGTTTAGCGGTGAGACATTATTACTGTATGCCAATTAACATTTTGTATTTATTGTCTGTACTAATAAACATAGTGACGTACGCGTAATTCACTCACTATTACTGTATGGTGCGACCGTGTGGTGCGGGTAGTATCCATACGTATCAAATCAAATCGTAATCGTAGCAATGGAACGTTATGTAATAACACACAGTGTCCAGGTGCTTATTGCTCCGAATGCTGGTGCGTACTGAGACTTCTATGTAGGATTATAAGAAGCATGAAATTTAATAAGGAAAAAAAATATATAAAATAAAGTAAAATAAAGTAAAATATAATGAAATAAATAACAAGTTAAAGGAATAAACGTATTATAGAACGTGAGTTTTTAGTGAGAATAAAAAAAGAAAAAACCGTCAACTATATAAGTATTCATTGTCATGATTGAAATGGAACGCTGGTCAAAATATAATACGAAAAATTGATTAATCTACTTTACCAATCTCGTAAGAGATGCCTGTCGAGGTCTCCGTATGGACCAGTTTCTTCGATTAAAAAGAAAAGTAAGATAGAAAAATAGAACAGAAGTAAAGTAAAGGAAGAAAATGGCGTGAATTGCGAATGGAACACGTTGTGTATGTATTTACTTATTGTAATCGCTCCTCCGATGCACTTTATTATAGTTTTTGCCTCGACATGGGTCATTGCTCTTAATTGGATTCAATTACGTTCCACCGACATGACAAGATAAAACACTCGCGGTAGAATACGTAAACACACAGAAACATGAGATACACTTATAAATTTAGAATTAATGGATTTAAAAGGAAAGAAAAAGAAAATAAAGAAAACGAAAAAATCGGGCCCTGCCAACCAAGCGCAGTCCACAGACTTGTCTTGTTAACTACTGTAGTTATATAGTTCTATACATACATATTTATATATATATACCATTGGCGAGCAGTGAATTTTGGGGGAGGGGGTCGTGTTTTGCGGTGCTAGAGGATTGATTACGAGCGAATATATATTTTCTTTTTGCTGTTTTCTTTTGTTTTTATCAATTTATAAAAACGATGTTCTCATTAAATTGTAAAATTTAACGTAAATCATTGCTTGCATTTATCATGATATATATATATTTATATATATATAGAATATATATAGAATATATATCACGATATATATAGAAGAAGACAAAGAATAAGGAGAAGAAGAAGAAGAAGAAGAAAAAGAGAACACCCCGAAGTGCTCAGTGACGAATCGAGAGGGTCTCTGCGAATGACATTAAATACTCGTGCGACCTTTGTTTTCTTTTTTTTCTTCTTCTTCTTTTTTTTCCGGACACCTCTGACAAATTCCTGACGATTATGATTTCGGCCGAGTAGGTTTGCTGTTGTATACTATGATCGAGAGGTGTTCCTCTTCTTCCATCAAAAAAACCCGAAAAAGACATACGAGAAGAATATTCTTCCAAGATGGGAAAACTGATGATCCACTCCCCCTCTCCTCCTTTTATCCATTCCCCTGTCCCCCCATATCCATCCCCTACCCCTCCCCATCCTCACCCCATTTTTATATATATATATATATATATATATATATAAAAAGGAAAATGGATATCGACGATAACGATGAACGTGACTCGTGTTTAAATTTAAAATATTGATTAATAATAATATTTCCTCCCCTTAATTTATATCATTTTTCGTTCCTCTCGTTAGAAATATTATATTAGTAGAGATTCTTCCTTAAAAGAAATAACGCATCTTCCATATCGTATACTTTATAAACGATCAGTCGTACTTCCTCGTAGGTAGTTTAATCATTATTGGAAAGAAACTGAGAAAGTTAAATAACATCTGCGATATTTTTTCTCTTTTGTTTCTTTTCTTTATTTTTTTTTTTTTTATATTGGAGGAAAAAAAAAGGAATCATTATATTAAAAAAATCATTAAGTCAGTTTGTAGAACAGTGTGTGATTATTATGGAAACACGTAGGCAGCTAACGAATAGTTTCCTGAAAGCATTGCTTCTGCATGGTGTATACATATTATAAATATATAAATATATA